TTCTCAGTTCCCACCTCATCTATGATTCTATATTAATATGATAACAAATAACACACTATCAAACAGATAAATATGAAATGCTGAAACATATAGACAAACCACAAACATGATTGATGAAACAAACCCATTTTCTAACATAACTCAAACCAAATATAATAGTATAGCATAACGGCACTAATTAGTAAATAGTAATCCAAAAAGTTACCCAAATATGCCTCTTAGAAGTTAGAAGTCAGAAGATAGATTCAAAAATGATAGAAGACAAACAGCTGAATCGGTTGGTCGATCAACGATGAAGGCAAAAGAATGATAGAGAGTCAAAGACCAGGAACCATGATGAAGATGACCGCAAAACGGAAAAAAAGCGACAGAGACAAAGAATCAGTTATATCAATTGTAAATCCTTTGATTCTTTGAACTCTTCTGCTTCACAAACAAATCCACAGCACCATGTTGTTGCATCCAGAACACAATAAACTCCAATCAAACACAAACAATAAAAAAAAAAATGAAGTTTTGAAGTAAATCTAAATAATATTTAGATTGTTACCTTAGCTTTGAAGTTTTAAGATTGAACGGATGAAAACAACTAGATTATTCAACGACCGATGGCAAACAGAGGAGAAGATAGCTGATTAAAGATGAACGAAGGATGAAGTTGGCATTAGGAAGATGAATGAAGAAGAACCAAAGATGAAATTAGACGAAGAATCGAAGAAAAACTTAGAAGAAGAATGGAAGGTTAACGAAACGAAGAAGAAGATCAAACCTGGAAGTTCAAATCGAAGAATGAAGATGAACTGAAGAAGAACGCAATGACAACAACCAAAAAATATCAGATGAAATCAAAATGAAATGAAGGAGAAATGGGTTTAATTAATTTAGGGTTTTATTAATTGGATCGATTTTATGTCCGGTCCTGTTGGACTGTTAGTCTGAACACTGTATAGGCGGCCTAATAGCGGTTTGAAATGGTTTGATTGCTAAAAACGGGTTTTATTACTTTATGAACTGATTATCTCTTCCGAAACCTAGTCGGACTAGTTTGGTCCGGGTTTAAAACATTAGTATGACCCCCCGCGGGGGGTGGGGGCGGGCGCGGTGGTGTGGCAAAGTCAGGAAATTTACTTTTAGGGACTAAAAAATGTTCAATGAATATGGGGGCTAAAGTAGAAAGTTACATTTATAGGGGTTAAAGTAAGTTCAAAAACTAAAGGTGGCTAAAGGGAAAATGAATTTATAGAGGTGAAATTGATAATTTTCTATATAAAAATTAGAAAATATTTATGGGGCATAGCCGCATAGTCACCTGAGCTTGAATGTAGTTCCTCCATTTCAACTAGTGAAGGTGAAACCCCTTAAAAACCTAACCTTGTCCTTTTCTTAGGTAAAAATGTATTATATATGTGTTTTCATATATAACTAATTATAATTATTATTTTAATAAAAAAATAAAAATATTTAAGGATTTCTAGGTATGAGGTCAAGGTCGTGTACTGCATTCCCCTAAAGGGACCAACCCCATTTCCTAAAATCTAAGATTGGAGTCGGGATGATGATATTACAACGGGGCTTGGGCTGAATATGAAGGTGCCTGCTCCAGTCTCAGAAATTGCCAACTCCATACTAACATATGAAGGATTGTGTACTCTACAAAACAAACAATGTGAAAAGAATGACATACGAGAGGTTCATCTGAGTCAGCACTAAACTCTTAGAACTATTAACTAGCAAATAAATGCAAAATAAAAGTAATCGCACTCAACGTTAAAAATTGAGTTACTACCACCTATTAATTACAATGATGTGACTTGAAGTAATCTACTTCTTTGGCCGCAAAATGCTTTCTTTTTAGGTAAAAATTATATTTTTTCCATTATCCTTTAAACTCTTTATAATCACATCTGCTTAGTTACCTTCCTTAGATATAACATTTATTGTTACATGGTCTCTTTAAATTGTTATGCACTATAGACGATTAACTCTATGGTCGAGTCGAACAAGGATGATCTTGTGAGGACGAGACCATTGACAATCCTGTAGACCTGTAAGAACAAAGAAGAGTGAACACGAAGGTCTTCAGGAACACCAGTATGGTGTCAGTCGTATGCACTCCGATGCTCAAGTCAGTACGGTTGAAGGGAATTTAGTAAGACTGGGAGTGGGAAAGGGTTCATTGGGAATGTTTGGCTAGGGTGCGGCTTATCAACGTAGAGTAGCTGGAACTTGGCTCTACGACAATTATGAGAGTAGAGTAATTGGAACTAGGCTCTATGACGGGGAAAGGTCGTGGTTCTTGGGAGCAAGAATTTAGTAAGCTAGAGAAAGAGAGGTTGTGATTCAATGAATCATGAGAAGGCTTGGCTTCTGTTTATATAGTGAGCCAAGGAAGCTTGAATCCTTGTAGAACTAGGCATTCCTATAATAAGAGTTTGAGTGAATAGGAAACTTGTAATACTAATCCATGGAGGATTGGGTGCACTAGTTCATGTAAGATTAGAAACCTTGGATGAATTAGAAAGTGTATGAGATTTAGAGTCTTATTCTGGAATGGATACATGTTAATGGTTGGAGCCTGGTTTAGCTTATCTTGTAGAAAGGCCCAACTCGTGGAATGGCCCATAAGTGTAGGCTGGCCCGATTTATGGGGTGACCTTAATCGTAGAGTAGTCCAATGCATGGAGAAGGTTGACTCGTGGTGTGGACTAGCTCGTATAATGGGTCGACTCAAAAAATGGATCTTCTTACAAAATGGGTCATCTCGCTGGATGGTCTTTCTACAATGGATTAAAACATGGGCCCAATCAGAGTTAAGCTATGACACTGGATCGTATGTAGTGATTATGCTATTATTGGGCCTGACAAAGCCTAGCGCGATTTTGGGTCCATACATGTACCTTGCCAACAATCCCCTTCCAAAGATTTCTGAGGTGATGAGGACCAACTATGGAGGAATACCCCAAGATAGGGTAGAGATACAATGGTGATGTAGCAACCTCATCTAGGCGATGGTGAAGGGGCAACCGGTCTCTCTTCCTTTCCCCTGTGACACTTGTTACATCACAAAAATCCGCATAATATTTAAAAACTATTTTTTTTTTTTAATGCAAATAAATAGATATATGATCCTGAATTTAAAATAATTTGTAAAACCAGACAATTTGCAATTGTTGGGATAATAAATATCAACCTTTATTCAATTTTCGAACATAATTGAAAACAAACATATCCTATAGATTTCCAATATAATCCTTGATCAGCATGGTCTTTGCTCGAGTTATTGGTGGAGTTGACAAAATAAATTAAACTGATGGATTAATTCCTTTTTTAATGCAATATTGAAAAATTGAAAAATTAAAAACCAACCAAAATCATTATAACACATACTATTCTTCCTAAATATTTATGCTATATCATATATAGTATAATGCAATGAGTAGAAAAATGGTAAATGGGTCGGTTCTATGCACAAAATATTATAAGACAATTTATTTGTTTATTTTTTGAGAAGTATGAAAATAAGAGAGTTTGAGCTTAATCATTTTTTCTGTTTAATAATTCAAGTAGTTGATGAATGATGGATTGAGTTTGATGAGATAAAAAAAATAAAAATAAATAAATAAATAAAGTAAAATGATTTTTAAATGCTTAACCGAATTAATGGATGGATTAGGAATTTGGTTGTATCACTTTCAACTTTTTCAATTTACAAATTAATTTCTTTTTTCTCTTCGTCAACAAAACCCTCCCATTCAAAACATCTCGTTTCTAGGTAAGGGCTAGCTATTAACTAATTGAAAATTAAGTATAAAAATTTCAATACATTTATCCAAGTTAGAGAAATTTTGAATACTAAAGAGATACTATATAACTATATATATCAATTACTGAATTATAATACAAATTATTCTTTATATATCACTTACTAATTTTATTTTATTTTTTCATTTATCCTTATAAGTTATAATTAATAAATTATTTATCACTAAATTAAATATTTATGTGGCATACATACATTAACCTAGGATATAACTAATATGTTATCTAGTAATACCATACACACGATCCCCGTCAAGTTATATATTTGATCGTTTTTTGTTGCTAACTTTAAGCTTCTTCTTTCTTACATAAAGGGATCCATCAATATTAGCTCGTCAAGCAAAGCAAAAGAATAACGTTTACCACAACGTTACTTAACACAATCCTCTAAGTTTTGTTATGTCACATCTTTCCCTTTGATTTATTCCTTTTCCTCATTAATTTGGCTTTCTGGCAACTTATTTATGCTGTAAAAACATAAATGTTTAAGAATATGCATCTTCAAATACCCATTCTTATTTGTTTGATCGAACATTACATCAAATGTAAAATATTGATTTTATATTACATGAATTTTTTAATTTTGAACTACGTAAAAAGTCAAATTTATGCATTGACAATTTGAAACAATTTAATTAAAATTGAATTACTTTGTGGACTATTAGTACTGCTTGAAAACTGAAATAAACCACATAGGATCTGGCATATCCTACGTGTAATATTATACAACCCTCCAATTACGGCCACGTGGAGTTAACCCACATGGGTATTCCTTTTTCTTTAAAAAAAAAATTAGGTGTTTTAATGATTGATAAATATACTCATAGCATGGTTTGAACTAATTGTAAAAGGCTAACCAGCTCAAACGTAACCTAATTGCCGACTTTGTGCCTTCTTACCAAGAGACGCAAAGAAGAACTCAAAGTATTGCGTACGCTCCAAACACACCTGTTTTTATTCTCCCTTTCCCCAAATCCAACGATCGTAAATCATCTTTAACCTACCATCCCCTCATCTCAGCCGTTACATCATCATATATTTTAGCACATTTGTTTAATAATGTGTCTTCCTGTACTTTAGTTGATCCCCTATTGTCTTGTTGATGAATCTTATGTTGTATTCTCAGGTTCTTTAAACCCATTTATCTCTCTCTCCCTCCCTTTCTCTCTCTCTGTTACTCCATTATTATATATCAACTTCTTTAATGGTGATGTAGAAAATACAGCATATTTGCATGCTTCTTAATTAGCCTGATTATGTAGGCATTGCTCATTGTTCATTTTACTTTTGTAATCGAAACTGCAGTGATCACAAATGTTGGTGCCACCATGGCTAGAGTCTTTGTTATCTTCTACATTCTTCACAATTTGCCCTGGACACAGAGATGCACCGCGTAATGAATGCAATATGTACTGCCTTGATTGCAAGAACGATGCATTTTGCTTCTATTGCCGATCTTCACGACACAAAGATCATCCTGTAATTCAAGTGGGTATTTAAATTCTTTTTCTTTCTCTCTTTATATTTCTGTTGAATGAAACGACAGTTACGTGTATATATACAGATCAGACGGTCATCATATCACGATGTTGTTAGGGTTGCTGAAGTTCAAAAGGTTTTGGACATCAGTGAAGTTCAAACTTATGTAATAAACAGTGCGAGAGTTGTATTTCTGAATGAGAGACCGCAGCCCAAGGGTCCTGCCGGTAAAGGGGTTTCTCATTTATGTGAAGTTTGTGGGAGAAGTCTTTTAGACCCGTTTCGTTTCTGTTCATTGGGATGTAAGGTTAGCTCTCTTTCTCATCAATTCTGATCATACATTTATTTAATCACCTTTAATGCCAAAATTCTATTTACATTGTTATCGTCTTTGCCAATGCCGTTCATTATTACCTTTACTTGATCATTCTGGTCGTTCTTTGATAATGAAAATTGGAAACATCGTGAATATCGGATATTTTACTTGGAAGCATTAATATTTCCTAAATGCGTTTTCGAATACTTCTATACTTGAAAGCATTCCCAAGTATGCTCAAATTTCTTTTCATTTGGTTAATCATAATAGTTCTAATTGTGTTTTCCACCTTCTGTTCTCTCTTATTTAATTAGTTGTAGGTTATTAATGTATGTTTTTTTAATTTATAAATAGCTTGCAAGAATAAGAAAAAATGGGGATGCAACGTTTATTTTAAGCAGCAGCAAGAATGAGGCAGAAATATCGGAAACAAGAGAAGGAATACAAAGAAGATTGGGATCAAAGGAAGAAGAAGAAGAATTGCGTGAAGGAAGACAACAAGACATGTATAGATGCACGCCTCCTCCACCTCATTCTAATTCTAGGAGAAGAAAAGGCATTCCTCATAGAGCACCTTTCGGGACCTAATAGTTTTATTTAATTTTTATAACCTTTAAACAAAGTCTTAGGTGTCACACCAACATCATATCATATATAACATTATTTCTCAACAAAAATCATATCATAAATGTATCTATATTTGTATATTTTCTCGTCAATATTCTACCTAATTAATTATCATGATACATCATCTGTAAAATCAATAGATATATAACAAAATGACGTGGTTTATAGGTCACATTATATTAAAATTAAATGTGTTTGTACATTATACCAAATCCAGCTCATTCTTCACAAGGCAGCATGTGAAAAAAGAATTAGGCAAATAAAGTTAATTATGGACCTAATTTCAATATAATAATTTAGGTGTAAGTTACTTTAGACTTGGTATTAAATAATGGTGGCATTAATGTTTGGGACAATGCTAGGTGTAAATGTTATCTAAATACACATGAACGGTTTTCTTATTATAAAGCAACGACAGCTCATTTTTTTAATTTCATTGTTTGGTTCATGATGTATATTCTTACGCTAATGGCCAAATCCGTTTCATTTTCATTTTCAGAAATTTTGTTTCTTCTTTTCTTCAGTGCTTTCTGTTTTGGTTAAAATTAATTGTCTCTTTAGTTTGGGAAAACAGATGCATCTGCCATTAATACCTAGCATGAAAGAGAATTTTATCAATCATATGCTCTCCTTGCCTGTTCAATCACTTCATGCCATCATGTATTATCATCATTTTTAACATCCGCCTTAAATATATGTAAATATATACAATAAAACCTCTCTATAGTCATAATGATAAGATCATAGAGGTTTATTGTATATATATTACTATGAGAAGATTATAACTTAGTAGAGATATAGTTACAAAAATTATTGTTTTAACTTAAGATTATCCTTAAAGCTAGTGGTATAAAGATAAAATATGCACTATAATAATAATTAATTAATGAAGCATATCAACTCTAAGGTATAAACATTGATAAAAGAAATAGACATAATGTGGAGACAAGTTCTTTAAGATGAGACCGAGAAAAATTATAACTTTATTACAATATGGAGTTTATTCTTATTTATAACTAATTCAAGTTGAAATCAAATATTTTATGATTACATAGAGGTTATTTCTATGCAGAGTATCACTATAGAGAAGTTCTACTATATGTAATATCAAGATGTTCTTATAAAAAATTTGTCAGGATCATCCTTAATCATCATTGGATTTATCTCATTAGATTGATATAATATTTTACAAATAAATCTTGTATGCCATGACCGTGATTACTTACAATTAAATTTTTATCCGTGAAATATCAATTCAAACAAATGAGCATGCTCCTCAGAGAATTAACACCAAGACGTCTTTATTAGAGAATTTTTGTATATATATACACATGTTTTTCTCTCTCTATATACATGTGTTTTGAGTTGTATTGTTGTGTGCTTTATAAATGGACAAAAAAATTAATCATATCAATGTATTAAACAGTATTTTTTAATCATTTTATAAATAAAATGCTTTGTGCGTCAAATTATGAAACATAAATTCATGCCACGTGTTGAGACATTTAATGATGTGCAGGAAATCCGGAGAGGATAAACCCCAAATTCGTGTCAAGATATCTTTCCAGAATTAAGACCAAAGATCGCACCTCTTTCCTAATCTATTGAAGTCTGGTTTTATTTCTAATTCATGTTGCGACAAGTTAGGAAGGGATAATTCCTGCTTTGGTTGCAACATAGATTCCCGAATAAGAGTTGAAGATCAAGATGTTCTCTATTCTAAAAGATTCAGTGTTTATTTCCAATTCAACTATGTAGTTGACCCCATATAAACCCATTACAGTAAGTTTTGGGGAAGAGCACAGAATTAGATTATAGAATACTCATCATAAACGCATTGTAGTGAGCTCATTTCGTAACAAGTGTAATAAAATATCGGTAAACATATGATTTGCTTTTAGCAGCCGAACCATTTTAAAATCTTTTATTTTTTATTTTTTGTTTCTATTCTTTCACTTGTTTTTAAATTCATTGATTCTACATCAAACCTTCGAATCTTACTCGGGCTCTTGTGCAAATTTACCTAGAATCTTGCATACCTCTCATTGGTTCAAATTGCTGCATCAACAATTCAAAAAACATAAAATATCATATTAATATTTAATGATCTTGAGCACACGTTAAAACATGGAATTTTTTTTTCATAATATTTCCAGATCGTGATCAAACATATAGATTCTGCATATGCATTCGGTTGAAAGTTGCAGAGAAAAATTGGGTCTGACAAAGCCTAATACGATTTGGGTCATACATGTACCTTATCAATAATCCCCTTCCAAAGATTTTGAGGTGATGAGGACAACTATGGGAATACCCCAAGATAGGTAGAGATACAATGGTGATGTAGCAACCTCATCTAGGCGATGTGAAGGGGCAACGGTCTCTCTTCCTTTCCTCTGGACACTTGTTACATCACAAAAATCCGCATATATTTAAAACTATTTTTTTTTAATGCAAATAAATAATATATGATCCTGAATTTAAAATAATTGTAAAACCAAACAATGCAATTGTTGGGATAATAAATATCAACCTTTATTCAATTTTCGAACATAATTGAAAACAAACATATCCTATGATTCCAATATAATCCTTGATCAGCATGGCCTTTGCTCGAGTTATTGGTGGAGTTGACAAAATAAATAAAAATGAGGATTAATTCTTTTTAATGCAATATGAAAATTGAAAAATTAAAAACCAACCAAAATCATTATAACACATACTATTCTTCCTAAATATTTATGCTATATCATATATAGTATAATGCAATGAGTGAAAAATGGTAAATGGTGGGTTCTATGAACAAAATATTATAAGACAATTTATTTGTTTATTTTTTGAGAAGTATGAAAATAGAGAGTTTGAGCTTAATCATTTTTTCTGTTAATAATCAAGTAGTTGATGAATGATGGATTGAGTTTGAGAGAAAAAAAAAAAAAAAAAAATAAATAAGTAAATGATTTTTAAATGCTTAACCGAATAATGGATGGATAGGAATTTGGTTGTATCACTTTCAACTTTTTCAATTTACAAATTAATTTCTTTTTTCTCTTCGTCAACCAAACCCTCCCATTCAAAAAAATCTCGTTTCTAGGTAAGGGCTAGCTATTACTAATTGAAAATTAAGTATAAAAATTTCAATAATTATCCAAGTTAGAGAAATTTGAATACTAAAGAGATACTATATAAGATATATATCAATTACTGAATTATAATACAATATTCTTATATTCACTTACTATTTATTTTATTTTTCATTTATCCTAATTAATAAAATATTACACTAAATTAAATATTATGTGGCATACATACATTAAAAGGATTAACTAATATGTTATCTAGTATACCATACACACGTCCCCGTCAGTAATATATTATGATCGTTTTTGTTGCTGACTTTAAGCTTCTTTCTTACATAAAGGGATCCTCAATATTAGCTCGTCAGCAAAGCAAAAGATAACGTTTACCACAACGTTACTTAACACAATCCTCTAAGTGTTATGTCACATCCCTGATTCTATTTCCTATTAACTTTCCATTTGCTTCTGAAAATATATTTTATGTGTAAAAACATAAATGTTATGATAGCATCTTCATAACACCATCATATTTGATTAACATTTTCATCAAATGTAAAATATTGATTTTTTATGTATTCATTGATTTTAATTTTGAAATACGTAAAAGTCAAATTTGCATTGACAATTTGAAACAATTAATTAAATGGAATTACTTATGTGGTATAGTACTGCTTGAAAACTGAAATAAACCATAGGATGGCATACCTACGTGTAATATTACAACCCCCCAATTACAGCCACGTGGAGTTAACCCACATGGGTATTCCTTTTCTTTAAAAAAAAAAAATAGATGTTTTATGATTGATAAATATATCATAGCATGGTTTGAACTAATTGTAAAAGGCTAACCAGTCAAACGTAACCTAATTGCCGATTTGTGCCTTACCAAGAGACGCAAAGAAGAACTCAAAGTATTGCGTACGCTCCAAACACACCTGTTTTTATTCTCCCTTTCCCAAATCCAACGATCGAAATCATCTTAACCTACCATCCCCTCATTAGCAGTTAATCATACATATTAGCACATTTGTTTATAATGTGCTTCCTGTACTTTAGTGATCCCCTATTGTCTTGTTGATGAATCTTATGGTATTCTCAGGTTCTTTAAACCCATTCATCTCTCTCTCTTTCTCTCTCTGCTACTCCATTATTATATATAACTTCTTTAATGGTGATGTAGAAAATACAGCATATTTGCATGCTTCTAATTAGCTGATTATGTAGGCATTGCTCATTGTTCATTACTTTTGTATCGAAACTGCAGTGATCACAAATGTTGGTGCCACCATGGCTAGAGTCTTTGTTATCTTCTACATTCTTCACAATTTGCCCTGGACACAGAGATGCACCGCGTAATGAATGCAATATGTACTGCCTTGATTGCAAGAACGAGCTTTTGCTTCTATTGCCGATCTTCACGACACAAAGATCATCCTGTAATTCAAGTGGGTATTTAAATTTTTTTCTTTCTCCTTATATTTCTTGAATGAAACGACAGTTACGTGTATATATACAGATCAGACGGTCATCATATCACGATGTTGTTAGGGTTGCTGAAGTTCAAAAGGTTTTGGATATCAGTGAAGTGCAAACTTATGTATAAACAGTGCGAGAGTTGTATTTCTGAATGAGGACGCAGCCCAAGGGTCCTGCCGGTAAAGGGGTTTTCTATTTATGTGAAGTTTGTGGGAGAAGTCTTTAGACCCGTTTCGTTTCTGTTCATTGGTGTAAGGTAGCTCTCTTTCTCATCAATTCTGATCATAAATTTATTTAATCACCTTTAATGCCAAAATTCTATTTACATTGTTATCGTCTTGCCAATGCCGTTCATTGTACCTTTACTTGATCATTCTGGTTGTTCTTGTAATAAAAATTGGAAACATCGTGAATATCGGATATTTTACTTAGAAGCATTATATTTCCTAAATGCGTTTTCGAATACTTCTATACTTGAAAGCTTGCCAAGTATGCTCAAATTTCTTTTCATTTGGTTAATCATATAGTTCTAATTGTGTTTTCCCTTCTTTTCTCTCTTATTTAATTAGTTTAGGTTATTAATGTACGTTTTTTAATTTTAAAATAGCTTGCAAGAATCTTCCTTAGATATAAC